AGGGGCTGGGTACCCTAGCCCAGGAAAGGTTAACCTTTTCAAAAATGGTCGGAGTATATAAACCCCCCAAGAAGTTATAAAAGTTACCTGCTCAGCTACTAAGACTATACCATCCCAAGGGCATCTTTCAAAGGCCGTCGGTTGATCTGAGCCCTGGTGGTTGAGCCACAAAGCACAGGAATCCTGGGTGGTGCCAACCCTCGATAAGGATCAACATGGTCTTGGCAGTCATGCCTACAGGACTTTGCTTTGCTATAGTAGCACCGAGTATGACTACGATGGTAAGCATTACCAACAACTGTAGCATTGACTCGGGCACGAATAGCTAGAAGGCGAATGTTGCACATCATGATATGATTGCACATCATGATATGAGCATGCCAAAAGAATCGGCAATACTAGTACTCAATATGCAACAGACTGGGAAGAATAGGGCCAGCTGACCGCACGGTCGCGGGGTGCTCTCATACTGGCAGGTGTACAAAGGGCAGTCCTAGGAATCACATGACTGAACAGCCCATTCGAGAGCACACGGTATCTTTCATTGCAGTGGTACCTGGAGCTGAAACATGTTTTGGCGCGTTTCAGCAACGGCAGAAACAACAACACTGGGCTAGCGAAGATGGCGATCATCTCTAGAGCACAAAGAGCCCTGAGCCCAGAACCTAAAAGCTTCAAACCCGCCCAATATCCCCAAGTTCAGGGCTTAGGATCCAGCCTCAACCCTGAATCCCTAGCCCGTACCCCCNNCCCCCCCCCCCCCCCCCCCCTCCTCAAAGAAAGAGCGAAGAAATGCAAGGCCTCGATCAGATGGCTCAAGGGCCTGCTTCTCGTCCTTCCTCGGCCAGGCTCAGCGCGGAAGGAGCTCTCGATTCGATGAGTTTTTTCCTCCTAATCCGCAAGGACAAGCCCGCATGGCAGCGCTTACAGCTCGGCAGGCTTTCATCATTTCCGGGGAAAGAGAGAAGACAAGAGGACGCATTCGGCGATGTATGATTTTTGGTTCAGGGCTCCGACCGGAGCACAAAACCCAAACCCACACTCCTCGCAAAAGGACAAAGGGTAACACAGACACCATCAGGGTTTGCAGATTTTAGGGCTTCGGGGTTTGAGGACCCAAAGCCCCGCCCCGAAACCTTCGGAAGCCCTGCACCCTGCTCGCTGTCTCAGGCCGGAACCGAATCACGGACCTCGGCCCACCTGGCTATCTAAGGACCTATGCTAGGGGGCCCCTGTAAAGTCGCTACAAACCGCTATGGAACCCTGTAAGGGAACCATTTGAAGGAAACCCTTAAACTTCAAAAGGTTCAAGTTTGAAAGGGATTTGGGGTTTAGGGTTTAGGATTTACCATGCAGGTTACACGATGGAAGCCCGAAGAGTATTCCAGACACTTCTCCGTTTCTCATAAGTACACCGTAGTATGCCCAACCTACTTTACTCGGCAGGGTCCCTATGTCAGTGATTCGAGCAAGGTTTTTGGGTGTATGATAGTACAAATATATAGTGGCTGCAAGGCGATGGTCTCGAAGAGTGAGTGCTGGGCAAAGCTTGCTTGGGTTGCGCTTAAGCTTCTATGCGGCTTACGACTTTCTTTTTCAGGATCGCGGTGACATGCACGGAGCTGAAGGACTCAAGTTTGCAAAGCGAAGGCCCCCGCAGCTTATGGCAGTCGGAGACTGCAGTTGCAGAACTCTGCACTTCGGACTTCGGCATCTGCACAGACCAAAATGGTACTTACTAGCTCAAAGCAAAGGAGCTGCAAAACAATGCCGTCTGCTTTCCCATTATCGGATCCCCGGATCCTTGAAGATACCCGACCCCCGATAAAGCTAGCCGACATGTGCCGATGGCTAAACCCTCTCAGTCACCTCAGTACTCCCTGGACGTCCACGAACCCCTTCCAACAACCTCAATAGCCTAAAACCCTAAAGCCCAAAAGCCCTAAGTCCTAAACGCCAAGCCCAAAGCCCTACAGCCCTAAATATGCCCTAAATCCATAGCCCAAAGCCCTAAAGCCTCCTAAACCCTAAACCCAAAGCCCTGAACTTCAGTCCAAACGAAGCTCCGAGGCTCGCACCTGCGCTCGCTGCCTTCGCGGCCTCTTCCGCGGCCAGAGCAGCAGCCGATGCGGCAGCCGCTGCACGGCTGGCTCCTCTCTTTCTAGGGTTCAGGAGGTCTTACAGTTTAAGGTTTTAGGGGTCTAAATACTTATAGTACAATGGGCGGCAAAACCCTATTCAAATTATTAAGGCCCCGTTTTTAAGGGTTGTCTTTAGACTCTCGCAAGCCATCACTGCGCGGATTCAGGGCGGGCTCTATCAAGGGTTTCTCAAGACTTGTAGAAGTGCTCCTGAAGGGTTCTATGCGGCCTTGAGGTGGAATCTAGAAGCCTGGACATGTCTAGGTTCTGCGCTAGAAGTATGCACATACGAGGGAAGAGATCAAGGGTCTACATTGAATGGCTTTGCAATACTTTGCAAGGTTTTTCGACAGCTTTTGGGCTGTTTAGGGGTTTCGGTGCGCAGGGACCAGCCAGATGGTTCGAAGATCATCCACTTGCACCCCTCCGTAGTTAGCAGGGTTCCATGTCGGGCCTGCCTGGAGTGTGCTAGCCATTATTTCGCTGCCGTAGTCTCTTACTTTTAGATCCTAGCCCAAGCCTCATGAAGCCCGGCACGAGCCCTAAACACCCCTAAACCGCTGTGTCGGGCGACAACCTTGCACATGCATGCTCACGTCTATCCGTGTATTGTGATTGTGTACTTGCATGTATATATGCAGAAACTATGTATGTATTCATGTGGGCGTTGGGTGACGCATGTCTATTCGCTTGGGCTTGTTAATGTATGCATTTGTGTATGTGTATATGTGTGTATATATATATGTGTGTGTGTGTGTGTATGTGTGTGTGTCACATGCAGTATGTAGGTACGTACGTACGTATGTATATATGTATATGTATGTGTGTGTATATGTATATGTATATGCATGTGTATGTGTTTATGTACATGAGTCGGCGTCAAAATTACTTGTTCATGCTGCTTATGTTTTTGAACTAGCGCGTCCCCTATCGTTTTCCGAGGAAGTCGCCTAAGGCACTTGAAGGGACCAAAGTGTAAGTAACCCTATCGTTTTAAACCCTATCGTTTTAAATTTTAGCACATCCCCTATCGATCTTGGGGGTTCTGGCTCAACAACTGCCCTCTACACCAAACTACATTAACGATATTTTTGACCCCATCTCTTATGTATATGTGTATGTATGTATGTATGTATGTATGTATGTACGTATGTATGTGTGTTTACATATGTAAATATGTCAGTTGCATGTATGATGTAATTTCTTCAACTAGTCATCTAAAACCCAGGACTGGAGGTCGGCAGTCCTTCCGTGGCCTGGCTCAGGGCCGTCTTCAGTGCCTCCTCCTAGCTTCGGGCTGCGGGGCTTTTGCAAGTTACAACTTCGGGTTTAGGGTTTAGGGTTTAGAGTTGGCGTTTTTGTGCTTGGGGTTGTGGCTTCGGGGCTCGTTCACGGCCTTCTGGGTGAGGAGGGATTAGAGTTTAACGGTATGTGGTGAGCCCTGGGGTTTGACATCTTGTGCTTTGAATTGCAACTTCAAGGGCTTCGGACTTAGGGCAGTTTACTGGGAAAGAGGCTTCGCAGCTCTGGGGTCCTCCCTGGGTCCTCAGGGAATCCAAAGCTGTAGCTTGCGACTTCAGGAACTTTTCGATTCGAGTAACTAAGCAGGGACCTTGCGCGATGTTGAATATGACCTTGAACCCCTCAACCCTAAACCGGCTGTGGACCAGATTCACGAACTCCCAGCAAACAACCTTTGAACCACACAGCTCATTGATTTCCCCTTAAATTCTAGAAACCTACACCCCGACCTCCGAAATCCCAAGATGAAGGAAGCCCCAGACCTCGATCATCCCCATTGTAGGCTTGCAGCGGCCTTGCTCATCAGAACAGACCTCTAAGAAATAGGGCTTAGGGTTTAGGATTTAGGGTTTAGGATTTAGGGTTCAGGGTTAAGAAATAGGTTCTGAACCTTCAACAGCCCCCGTCCTCCTCATGCAGAGCCCGAGCTGTGCCATCGGCACCCACAGCCAGGGCGGCGTGCCGCCTGACGCGCCTCGTCGCCTCCCAGAGAAGCCGCTACTTTTTTGGCTCGCCTATGGGCAGTTCAGGGTCCTTTTTAGGGCTCCTTAAAGGGATCTATAGGGGTTTCTATAGGATTACTATACGGGTACTGTAAGGGTAGTTCTTTAAATCAGGGTCCCTTTTAGGGTCCTCTTTATAAAGGTGCCGTATTATATTGGGGACCTAAAAGGGGACCCTAACAAAAAGAGAACTACCCCGAGGTTTCCCAGAGGGTTTTGCATGAGAGTGACTCGGGATTGGGATGTTCGGCAGTTTTTGTCTAAGAGGAATTAGTGTATGGATTATGTAACTATGTAGCTTAGGCTTCACGGAGACTCACTTAGAAGCAAAGCTCTGTACAGCTTAGTGCTTTACTTCGTATGCTGCTTTGTGGCTCATTAGGTCACCCAGCCCTCAAGGAGAATCGAAGCCGATATGCAAATGCAGAGACGGAATGCAAACCCCGAAACTTGCTTGAGGGATGAGACACTTCGGATCTGAGTATGAGTGCCGAGCCCTACAACAATTGGGGGGCGTTAAACAAAAAGCGAGGCAGTTTAGGACCGAGGCAGGTTCGGACTGTCGGATTAAATATGCCTGCGGCCAGTCCTCTCACCTGTGGCCCCAAACTGAAGTCAGCGTGCGCCTGCGTCTCTGAAGCTTCCTGCAAGGGGCACGGGCTGCGCAGATGCGCTGTAACTTGGGTTTGAAGTCTAGCCCTGAACCCTACACTAGACCCTTTAGGGTTTGGGGTGTTAGGTTGTAATCATCACGAAAGCCCGGGCCCACGGGGATTCGGGGCAAAAGCTGCGGCAAAAGAACTTAACGAAGGAGAGGTCAGATGTCTTGGCGTTACACCCACACAGCGCGAGAAATCTGGAGGAAGGGTGGGTCCAAACCTCGTGCCCTCCTCAACCGTCCCCAGGCTGAAGGACTCCGGCCGCCGAAGGGCTGTAACAGGGTCAAGCGCGGCCGGACCGGAGCCCCATTCAGGGCTGGAGCCTCCCTTTAGGGTTTTTTTTTTTGAGTGCCTTTTTCCACCAGAGGTAGTGAGCCTGTAGCAGGCAGGCTGTCCACGACCCTTTGGACCTTACGACTTTTGCCTCAGGTCTTAAAGGATCTCAAAGGCTCCAGGGTTTAGGGCTTAGGGGTTTATAAACAGGGTTGAAGGTTTAGGGTTTATGAATCGGGTTTAGGGTTTAGGGTTCATAAATAGGGTTTAGGGCTTAGAGAACGGAAAATGGAAACCCCCGGGAGCCTGCACGAAGCTCAGAGATCCCAGCACCACGTCAGGGGCCAAAGGCTCGCAGGTGAAGTTGGCCACCTCGGAGCAGGAAGAAAACTCTGTAGCACTTTCTGGCGGTTCTTATGGGGCTTCGTCATGAAGCGCTTGTATGGGTGCTTTTTATGGTGCTTCGTAGGGATGTTTAAAGGGCTCCTCAGTGTCTTTCAAGGTTTGAGGTTTTGACACTTGCGCTCGCCCCAGCCAGGAAAGGTCTGAAGCCTCTAGCCTAGCCAGCGGGGTTTCGACTTGGTACACTTCCTGACTTGCGCGTGTCATCCTGGCGCAGGGGCCAAGCTAATCTTCTCCGTATCGTTCCCATGTTATCGGATGATCCCCTTTTGGGGGGTTTAGCTAAACCCTAAACCCTAAACCCTTAACGGACCAAGCACTTGGGGTTGACGGGGTTTCGGGCAAGGGTTTAGGGTTAGGGTTTTTTCCCTCACGCATGGCTAGGACCTATGCCCACAAGCGGGTTTAGGGTTTAGGGTTCCTGTGCGCTTTTTTCTTCAGAGAACAGCACCGCTCACAGCATCTCTACGCGGTGTAAGATAAGAAGCTCAGAAGGAAGCCAAGCGCCTCCAAACCGACAGCTGTCAAGATTGTCGGACACTTCTGGTCCTGACGTAGAAAAACCACGGCTTCGAAGATTTTCTAGACTCTATATGTACATAGAGGGAAAAACAGAAACACAAAAGCAAGTGAACAAGCAAACATTACATACGTATCTATAAACAACAAAGAAAGACATACTTATATCATACATATATGTACGTATGTATATGTGTGTACGCATATATATATATATGTATGTATGTATGTATGTATGTATGTATATATATATATATATGTATGTATATATATATATACATGTATATCTGTATATATATATACACACACACACACAAATGTCCAGTGACCCCTCGCCTCCTTCAGACCACGACTTGCACCGGGCCGGCCGGCACGGCCGCCTTCGTGGCGCGGCGGAACATCTCCGCGCGCTTCTCTGCGACCTCCTTGGCCTCTGCCTCCGGGAGATCCACCTGGGAGCTCCAAGCAATCAGGGAATCCTGCTTTAGGGTTTCGGGTTTTGGGTTTGGGGATTTTGGTTTTGGGTCTAGGGTTTAGGACATAAGGAAACGAAGAAGTAAATAGATGTCGCAGAACTGCAACAGTTGAACCCTAGTTCCGTAAGCACCCTCGCACCTTGACGTGGGGGATCGTGGCATCATCGGCGACACCGCAAGTGTTCCTCAGGGCTCGACTTCTGGAGTTCTTGTAACTATTCTCCGAACTATTACTGTTCTTGACGTGATCGTTTCTCCTACCAGTAGTTGTTATATAAAAAATCTAGTTCTAGATTCCCCAACACCCTAAGCCCTGCAACATACATGGGTGGTAACAGAAATGGAAGGTTTTAGAAAGCCCTAAACCCTAAACCCTGAACCCTGCAACCTAAACTTAGCATCGGCCGCTAAGGCTCTTGGCCATCTCCAGGTAAATGTAGCCCTGCATCCCCCAAGTCGAGGCCCAGCCTGGACGACCCGGATGAACAAGGAGGGTTTAGGGTTTAGGATTTAGGGTTTTTGGGAATAACAACAGTAAAGATTAGAACTGTAATAAGAATCACAATAATACGGAATAACAGTTCTTGGGGAAACAAAGTAACTGTGAACTAGCTATTCAGCTATGATGGACTATAATAAAGATCGACATAAAAAGTTCGAAAAAATATTGAAGAATTATTAGAGAAAGCAGTACGACTAGCAATGGCAATGTTACCCATGACATGTAACAAGTGAAGAATAGTACAAACCAGAAATTCCTACTAACTACCACTACAAATGAGAGCAGCCCGACCCCGAGAAAAGGGTAGATGCGGGTAGATCTTCATAATCACGCTACACATAACAGCAAGTACAGCACAACAGACAACAAGAATGTAAAGGCTGCGCATTGGAAAACTAAGCAGCTGTTGCGAACGATCCAATAAGGTTTGGGAGCCGTCGCGTTAAAGCCCACGGCCATCACGCAATGGTCCAGATAGTCCCTGCCCATCTCACCACATGCGGCAGACGACATGACGCCACTGGTGTAGTCGTCCCAGTTTTCTGAATTGACGCACACCGAGACGGGAGATTCCTCCAACGCAGCTGCCAAGCCCTTCAAGTCCTGATCTTTGCAGCTGCTCCCACGCTTCATGCAAGGCTTCACAGCATAGCTGTAGCCTGTCACGGCAGCGTAACCACCTGTGAGCTGCTTGTTGGGTCCATCCATGGTTTCCACCTTATGCTGTGGGCAGGCGGCTGTTTTGTCGGAGTCTGTCAAGCTCTGTGCGTACGGGATGTAGAAGCTGTTGGCGAGGCCCGGCACCTTCTTGAGATATTCATAGGCACCCTCTGTGAAGCCCCCGTCGCAGCCAAAGCAGCCGAATTTTCCTTTGCTCCAAGCGCCTGAGCTTTCTTTCGGAATTCAATTTACGAAAAAGCTGAGGATCTTTTTCCACATATCCGCATAACCGCACCTCAAATTAAACTATTACAGCGAAAGCCAGGCTCAGCTTGTGATCTGCTGGGGCGACAGTGAGATGTCGTATTTGCCACCCGAGCCAAGGATAAGCTGGGACTCGATGGCTTCAGTTGCACTAAATGCCCAGCAGGACCCGCACCTGAGTTCTCTTTTCACAATGAATAGAAGATACCTATATCATCTATATAAGCGAAATTTGACTGGCGTTCTAATTCCCCTTTGCGGACTTAAAAAGAGAGTCATAGAGGACACCACATCATAGACCAGGAGCCTTGATGCACAGATCCCCAAGAAGGACCACTAGGATAAGTACAGCCCCATAATAATCTCGGGCTTTGGGGTTTACCAAAACGTTGTGCTGAGAGGACTGTAAGGGGACAGCATTACAGTTCATGCGACAGCTAGAGGGAACGAAGAGCACTAAGCCCCGCACTGACCTTGATTCTTGATCGGCGTCACGGCCTCAGTGAGGCGCCAGTCAACAGCCTTTGCCGTGGCATCGGAGAAGTTTCGCACCGGCGCAAGAGGCTCGAAGTCCTTGGGCATCCGAAAGCCCCTCGTGTACCTGGGCTGTTGCTGGGAAAACATACCAGTTTTCTACTTATCCCTTCTAAAGGAAGCTTAGGTTCAGATTTGGTTAAAGTGGCTCAAAACGAACCCAGGTACTTCTCTTGCTCACGACGATCAGCCATCCAGGTGATGCCGAAGGCGGGCTCACCATTGAGCTTGTTCAGGCGATCCACACGTTCCTGCGTAGCCTTAAATAGCTGGTAGCGGGCCGACTCTTCGTCCGTGTTGGAATAGCCTGTGGGCTCTTGTGGAAGTGGAACTGATAATTCTTTTAAAGTTAGGATTTTTGAAAAACTCGCGAAGGATTTAAGGGTTCGGGGCTTCAAGTCGCCATGGCAAGCACGATGATGAGCTCTAGTTCTAGATGGTGAACTTCCTTATCTCAGTTACCTGATCTCGGATATAGGGGTGAAAGGAAGTATATCTTTTGGGTTACCCAGGGGCTCTTCTGGAACTTCTGCTTGAAGGCCTCCCAATCCGGGTCGGAGATGACAGCGACCGCCACGGGAAGAAGAAGAACCCAGGTCAAGGCAGAGAACATGGGTGGTGGAACCTTTGGAAACCTCAGAGCCCTGGTGCTTCTCTTCTCAAGGTCTTTCGAGCCAAAATGGCTGTCGGTGTGCTTAACTCGGTCTCTTTGCGTCTGAAGGGTTTTCTGCTGCCTTTCGGCCTTTTCAACTGCCGGATGCGTCACAAGTGCCCCTCCCCGCGACAGATTCGAATCGGAGTCACTCACTACATGGCCGGGACCAATGCCCATAGTAGATTGTTGCATCCAAAGGTAGAGCTCAGTGACTCAGGGAAAAAGTGAGGAAAACACCAGAGATCCAAAAAAGGGACACTCCTAAAACGCTTAAAATTGAAAAGCCCAAGGCTGAAGAGCAACCAAGAGAACCCAGAGAAACAACCCTAAGCCCTGTTTTTGCTACTTGGCTTAAGGACTAGCCAGATCTGCTGGCCAAAACCCTGAACCCTAACAACATTAAGCCCCTGAGTCCTTAAAGGCCCTAAAACCCCTTAAACCCCCTAAACCCCTAAAGCCCCTAAACCCCTTAAAACCCCTAAAAACCTCTAACATCCCTGAAGCCCCTATTAACCCCTAAGCCTCTGCTGGGCGCCCGGCGCAGTGCTCGGCACACTGTGGGCCGCTACAACCTGGGCCCTGCGGGTAGAGGCCGCTGTAGCCTTCCTGGGGCGGACGGTTTAGGGTTTTTTAGGGCTTAGGGTTTTGTTCCCTCCCACTTAGCTAGGACGAGGTTTAGGGTTTAGTTTTTTGGGTTTAGGCCGCTGAGCCTTCCTGGGGAGGACGGTTTCGACTTACAGACTCGCACAAGGCTGGCATGGCGTTCGGAGGTCTGAGGTTTGTTTAGGTTTAAGGCTTTTAGGGCTACAGGGGGGCAGGGTTGGGACTTAGGGTTGCGGTTTTGAGGCGTGGCGTTCCTGGGAGGAGAGGCTGGAGGACAGGCAGGCAGGCCTGATCGTGGCACACTTCTTCGAGGCTCCCTCCGGTGGGGTTGATTCCGCAGGCTGTATGTCGAGCCATGAGTGCCGAAGCTGAGACCGTGCTTTTGACCAGCCCTAAACCCGAAACCCCAAAAATATCGTAAAAGCTATATAAAAGTAAGTCCCCTAACCTGGTTTCTCTCTGTGTAGGCTTGCGAACCAGGGCGCTGCCAGGTTCAACGCTTCCTGCGCAAAAGCGTGCAAACAAAGCAGGAAGACCGGATCTGTCGCAACACTCGGCAGTGCTTCCACGGAGTCGCTCTTTAAGAGCGCAAAAATAAGTGCATATGATAAGAAAAGACTAAGACTGCAAGTAAGCATAAAAAAAGCGTGATAAAACGATGGAGAACACAAACTCATGATCACGCAGCCCGGACAGGTCCTGACCCATCTTCTGGGCAGTCACTACAACGCTGCGGTTCACGATGCACTGCGTCAGGTCGGAAAAGTACACCTGCCAGAAGTACAGTAGGGCAGCAGGTTATGCCAGTAGTCACAGTAGTCATGAGAAAGAAGGCTACAAGTGTGCCTTGACAAAACTGAACGTCACTGGACAAATAATCACTGGAAAACCGCGGAGTCTCCCCTTCGAAGTACTAGCTGTACGTGAAACTATTCATTGGGCTTTCGAATCACCAACCCGTAAATCTAGCTGCCCATCTGCGATCCGGGCCTCCGCCACGTCCCGGGGATCCTTGATGCCATGATGCATGACCTAGGCTGCAGTTTAGTCACTCTTTGCTGGGTCGAAGGGTAGATGATTTATGAAGGGCATGAAGGGTCATGTTTGGGCTCAATCTTGAACATAGCCCGTCGGCCGGCCCCACAGAGCTCACGTGCTTGTTCAGGTAGACACCATCGTCGACGAAGAAGCTCCTGAGCGTACGACTCTCACAGCTCGCATGCGCATCTCTCTCCTCTCAGGTCTCTCAATCCCGGGGGCACAAGGTACCGTGAAGCTGGAGCTTGCAAGGCAGAGCAGACCAACTCCCGACTCCCGAATCTACGGGATGCTTACCGAGCAACATTCGAGGCCAGATGGCAAGCAGACAGGATGCCTGGCCATCGCTTTAAGCGGAATAAAAAAGGGGACAAGAAACTCGAAAGGCTTGAGGTGAAATTTTAGATAAAAGCATTCGGCCAGCCAGCCTGGTAGAAGCCCTTGCCCCTCCTCAACAACGAATGCAAAGACGACTGAATCACGGTTAAGCATTGGCGAAGTCTGATTGCCTCCCATGTGGGCAGGCAACGCCGAACTCTGGCGGACTCAAGCAGCGCTAAACTACGCCCACCAGACGGCGAAACTATTGAGGCTTCCCAAAACTGAGTGCCTGATTCAGGGGTCCGCATCAAAAGGCCGGCACCGACTAAAAACCCGCACGTCTCCGACTTTTAAGGGTTGACTGCAAGAACCATCCGACCGGAGACAACTGCTTAAGCTCTAAGTTTGCTCTAAGTTTCCGACCCTGAAGGAAAATCCAAAGACCAAATCCCAAACACTGACATGTGAGCCCTCTCCCTCTTTGCAACTGGACAGGGAGTGACTCGGACTTCCAGACGACACCAAATCTAAACCGTATAAACTCTGGACCCTCAACCCTTGAAACCCCATGGACCCCCCAAAGTCGACATAAGTCCTGAACAAACCCTGGCAACTGAACGCTAAAGCCTAAAAGGTCCCAGCAGGCTGAAAGCCAAGAAGCCTATTATTAACCATAGGCCCTAAGTAGTTCCTTTTTATGATTTATATTTAGAATCCTATAAGGCAATCCCAAAAAGGAACCACTTAGGGGCCGATTCTTAACCCTAACAAACCCCCCGCGTCCCAGGGACGGCCGCCTCTGCGGAGCAGCCGTGCTCGCGGCCCAGGGTCGTCTGCTCCATTCGCCACATCCTTCCACGGAGCCGAATCGAACTTCCAGCATTGGGTTTAGAGTCTAGGGCCTAGGGGTTTCGGATACGGTTTAGGGCCTAATAGGGTTTATAGGGATAGGGGTTTAGGCTAGGGCTTCTAGGGTTGCAACCAGAAGTTGCGACCGGCGGTCGTTGGGAAAGCAAAGCTACCCGTGGCAGAAACGTGCCCTTTCGAGGTTTCGTGCTCTGGCCTCCTTCTACTTCGCTTACGAAGCCCTGAGCCGACCACCCACCCACCCTAAAGCCCGGCCCCTAAACTCTAAACACCCTAAACCCCTAAAAACCCCTACACCTTAACCCCTTAACTCCGACCCTTTTGGAAGTGCCCTGGCCTCGGTGGTCCGAGGACGCGCATGGATGCTTCCACGAAGCTCCAGTAGGGCTGGAGGTTGTCCACCTGCGGCTCAGTGCAGTGTTGTGAGGCTTTGAAGGGTTGCTACAAAATCACAGTACACGTTTGTCCCTGTGGCGAAGCATGACAGTCATTGGTAATAACATGACGAAAGCATGAAAGCAATAACAACAGTAAAACTACAAAGGCAGAAGACTCCTGTTTTGCATCGATGCGAAGAACTAGCCGAACGCGCCGTGTGCGCTGTCCCCTGTTCTGTTGGGCTAGACTTGGGTCTGTGAGGGCTGGCTTGCCGCCTGATTCTGATTTCACCTCGGATTGATCTCGCTGACCTCCCCAATCTCCGCTGAAAGTACGAAGAAGACCTCAAACCCCAAATCCCGAAACTCTACCATCGTAAAATCCGAAACCACAGTTCACTACTCTCGAAACCAAAAACAAGCAGCCCCCTTGCACCTTGGCTTCCAGCCCACCGTAAAGCTCTCGGACCCGGCTGGCACCGGAGAGCTCCAGGGTCTCCACCTTCCCGCCCAAGGGCCCCCGGAACTCTCTAAGGGTCTGGAGGGTTCTAGGGAGCGGGGTTCAAGGCTTGGGGATGTGTTGAAGTCATGGGTTTTATGCTTTCCGCGGGGAGGCGTTTAATAAGATGGCTTTGGGCTTTAGACTTGCAAGTTTGTGGATCTTTGATGGGTGGTCAGTGGGCCGCCTCGGTTCCAATTCGCACATCACAACTGGAAACCGTTCAAAACATATCACATTATATTAAAAACAGCATTGCGTCAAAATAAGTCAAAGCAGATTACATTATGTATTATTTGGTCTCATCTTATCTATTACATTGGATACACATACATACGTAACATACACAGGCTTGCTTGCTTTCGCGGGCAATCTCGCCCGGGCGCCAGGACCACGTGCAAGGCGCCGTTGTCTGCAGAGCTGAAGCTAGGCGGCTGGCGGTCCTTCATGGAGGCCTCTGACAACTCGGCTTAGGGATTCCCTAAACCCTAAACCCTAAACCTTAAGGCCTTAAGGTTACCAAGGGCTCAAGGTTTGCAGTCTGCAAGGTGCGAGGGTTCCAGGGTGGCAGGGTTGTGGTGGCTGAAGGGGTCTGGAACGCTCCTTTCCTGGCGGGGACACCTTGCGAAGGCTGGACTGTTTTTGAGGCCGATTGAAACTCATGGATCCGGACGACTTGACATATCATTGCGACTGCACCTCTCGCTACCTCATCCCGAAATAGCCCTGCCCCTGAGGGAAGCCCAGCCCAGCTATCTTAAGGCACTGAGGGCTAACCTCCACCCGGACCGGACCTTAGATTGGTTGTTGCCTTCCGAGAGGCCCATTGCTGAAGAAATGCCCGCACCCATGGCCGGTTCTTGGCGATGTAGTTGCCTGGGCACTTGTTGAGTTCAGGGTGGTTTTGTCACCCGACATGGCCTGCTCAAGCCTGGTGGCCCCTGTCTCCCAAAGCCTAAACCTTAAAAGGCAGAACATCACCATTCCCGTGGCAAAGCCTGGGATTCGACTAGAGGTCCGAGGTTCATGAGGCAAAATGCCTAAGCTAGCTACCGCAGACCCCGACTAACGAAAAGAAGCGAGCAATATGGCGGCCGCAATGGTCAGCCTTCGCGGGGAGCCTCAAACAGGATCCTATGGCAGCGCACACGCGAGCACTACTTTTCACAGCAAAGCAAAACCTCTAAATGTCTGAAGATGTGGGTGCCATGCAGCAAAGCTGAACCTAGATACTACACAAGATCATAGCCTTTAGGCTGTGATTCTGGTTCATGCTACATGGCTGCGGAACGGCATATTGACAACACACTCTCTCGGCACTCCCCCTAAGCACCGGATGGAGCTTATCCTCTGGAGAGTGTGACAAACTGTACACATGTCCTACCGCTAAGAAAACCTCTTAACCGGTCGGAAGACGACAGGAGCAGCTTACAGGCTCCTCGATACAAAAGCTGTAACCCTAAATCCAAACGAGGGTTACGGGGATGCGGTGAGGAATCGGAGCCTCCAGCCCAGTCCTCTCAAAAGGGGAAAAGACAACGAAGTCGTGTTGCCACCCAGGGGCAACCCAGGTGGTGCACAGTGGAGCCAAAACAAACTCCAAACCACGGTACAGGGCCTCGGGATACACGGTTTTGACCGTCCCAAGGTCCCAAATCCAATCTAGGTTCCCCAGGATCCTAGACTTCAGGTAGTGGGATTACTTGGAGCGGCGATGCCGCCGAAGTTCTCAGTGGGGACGGTACCCCGCCTGAGGCAAGGGTTGGCTTGTGAATGCCCCCCAGTGGGGCGTGCACGGTCTACTCCCTTGCACCTAACCTCCTATCCACCCCGACTCCCGCGTCGATTGCGTACCCCAGGCAGGCAATGCTTGCATGGCACGTATCGGGTTCCCCCGTTATGTCGTAACGGGCATCCTGCTGCATGGTATCGCGACGTCCAAAACCAAAGTGCCGGCTGACTGCCTACCCACTCAATCGTGGGCTCGGTGATGCATCGTGTGCACGGCTCGTAGGACGACACATTAGTGCAGTGTGCCAGTTGGGAACATCCCATCCGGTGGTAGCACCCCCCAGCACTCGTAACGCACAGTGGTAGGCTAACTGCTGCTTCGAGCGGAGCTGGTGTAGGTTGTTGGGGTCGTGAAGGCCCCAGCCACGCCCTCGCCGACGAGGACCCCGATCCACTTGGATTCGCGGGGAATGCAGCCGCCGCGTCGTCGCCATATTGCACGAACTGAGTAGCTTCAGCGTAGTCCTCATACGACCAGAGGCTTGTTCCCGGACGTGGCATCGCCCTTCCCCGCTCAGTCTGAACGGGTTCCGTTTGACTCCCCCGAGCTTGGCTCCCATTCTCCGTCTGCGTGCCTCGCGAGACTTGTCTCCGGGTCGTAGTGTTCACGGCCAGCCGCCGTACCACTACCTTAACCCCTTCCCAAACCGAAACTACCACAATGAGCATCACGACCCAAAACCACCACACTTCACTGGTCTCGTCTTCGTCGTTGGGTTGTCCGGCCGCTCCTTGGGCACACGCGGCAACAATCACCACAGCCAGGGCTCGCCTCAGCGACTCGGTGTTGCGAATCGCGGCCACTCGATCCTTTGGAAGCGTCGCGAGCTCACACAATCGCAGGAGTAGGTGGAACCTCTCGCGAGGGAGGGCCTTGGTCAAGGCATCGGCACACAGGGATGCTCCAGGCAGATGGGTCACTATCCAACCTCTAACAACCTGCTCTTGCAACCACGCCCCTTTTATCCGTAGGTGGCGTGTACGCCACGTCCCTCCTGGGAGAGACACCACGGCTACCGAAGCCGTGTTGTCTGTGTACAACACCACTCGTGCCCTCGAGATAGGGTTGTTCTGCTCTTGCAGCAGAGCGTTCGGCGGCACCATTGCACGACCCCCTAGAAACTCATTGATCAGGGGGCAAATGGACATAACCGCCTGGCCCGAATCACTTAGGGCTCCAAGCTCCGACTCGCATGTCGACATCGTCATGTAGGCCTGCTTCTTGCTGCACCAGTTGATCGTGGCTCCGGCCCATACAGTCAGGAAAGCCCCATGTGAGCGCGAGCTTTCGGGAGCAAACGAGGCATCGCTATATCCCTCCACAAGGTCCTCAGACCTTTCGACCTTAAGGACTCCCTCGGGGCCCTTGTCGTTGGGGGCAGACCCATATTTCAAACAAAGCTCTGGGTAGGCCTTGAGGTACCGCAAAACCTTGAGGCCTCGCTCTACGGCTGCTGCTGGGTGTTTGGTCATCCAAGCAGAGATGACTGAAACAGAGTAGGCAAGGTCGCATCTGCTGTGGGTAGACAACCAAAGCAGCTCTCCCCCGAGCTGTTGTGCTTTTTGCACTCGGCCCTCGAAGCCTTCCTTGTCCTCCCCGTCTGGGGTCTGCGGCTGTCCTTCACACGGAACTTGCAAGGGCTCTCCAACCTCATACCTCTGCAAAAGTTCCTGAATGTACCTGATCTGATGCACATACAATGTCCCATCAGAACCTGAGGAAACTTCAAACCCGTTGAAGGTAACTGATCCAGCCTCGGAAAGTAGCACCGGCTCAGTGCACTTCCAAACCTGACACAGCTTATCCAGCGTCTGCTGAACATGCGAGGTAGCGCCTACCGCCAACAT